TCGGATTTTGGGGGCTACGCATACATATTCAAATTGAATTACACGCCCTACCAGACGCGTTGATTCGAAATCGTTCGACGCGGCGGCCCCGATCTCTCGTCGGAACGAGGGCCGCCCCCGCCCGAATACGCCGAAACGCCATTGTCCCCGACTTTCCAAAAGCTAATGGGAAATTCCCGGCCCCAGAAGTTGGTTAAAACGCGATCGCTTTGCATATACGCTATCGACCAAATCTCTCTCCGTCCGACGCGTCTATGTACATATACACCTCCCCTCCCCGTCCTTTCCCGTCTCGATCGCATAAACGCGTACAAATAAGCGCGTTCAACCACCGTGTTTGCGTAGCGGGCAAATTTGACTCGGGGTGTATCCACGTAACAGGGGCTACGGGATCGACGTCGATGCGGTCGCCACGGTTCACCGGCCCGTCCTTTCTCCCGCTGCCCGCGGGAGGAGAGAGATCTTTCGAGGATAAAAAGGGAGGAATTCGTCGTATTCTCCTCTTTCTTCCTCCGGTTTTGTTCCCTCGCTCATCTCTCGTCGCGAAAAAGAAGGGATGAAAAAACGGATAATCCGCGCCCGACAAATCGCCCGACGCGAGACGCCCTCGATGTCTTCGTCTTTTCGCGCGGGAAGGAATCATTTGCGGAAAGGAAGATGGCGCGGTGAGAACGGGATCGAGAGATCGTAACGAATCCTCTTTTAATTCGAGAGCGAGCCGTCGCGTTATCGGGAATCGGTTAACCCGTTTCGATCGGTCGAGTCGCGAATGGAGAGGCGGAATTTCGAGGGGGGAGGGGTATTAAAAATTTCATCGGTCGGTTTTCGCATCGGAATATCGCACCGGTTTGTGCGATCCGGTTGACCCGGGTTTCTAAAGCGAAAAAAGAAAACGGGGTCGATTTATTTCGGGAGCTTCGCCCCGTTCGAATCGAACCACGCCGGGAATATCTTTTTCCACGTTCGCGATCGGGCCGAATACCTAAACGCGTACGTTTACGNATAAAGGGAGGGGTCGAGCGGAGGACGACGATCGGAGAGATAACGAAAGGTATTACGCGTTGGGAAAGATCGAGAGCGATATGGCGAGCAATAATAATACTTAAATACGGTGGCCAATGACGGTCCTCCTTTCTCTCCCTCCTCTCTCCCTCTCTCTCTCTGTGCCACGTAAATTCAATTTCACGGTTGG